TATTCTCGGATGAAGATCATCCGGTCCGCCCGATTTAGTCCTGTTAAGCTGTTCGAGTTTGGCTTCTACCTCGGATACGGTAATGTCAACCCCACCTCCTTTATTCCCCTCTGTCACGCTGCCTCTATTCCTAAGCCATTCATTAGCCTCATTAAAGACCGATGCAAAATATTTGTTTAGATATTGTGCCATGCCTAGATTATCCTTAATCTCCACTCCATCTACAGTCTTCAGCGGTCCCACTTTTCTTTCTTTGTTTTCTTCCTATTTAACATTTCTTCCTTTTGATACACACAGGATTTCAGTCAATCCCTCAACATTTACAAGCACCAGATATACCACAAAATAGTAAGAGACAAATATTAAAACAAAAAGTACCCTGGAAGTCAATAACATCTTTTCATCTTGCACAAATAGCTACACGTACAACCTATTAATGATAAACCAAAGATTGAAATAAACTAACATAGATAACACAATGGCACCAAAAAAGCCCTTAATAGAAACCAGTAATTCTTTTATTTAATTTTAAATGTTATTAAACAATAAACACATTATTTTAAATGTTTTTGTTAAAATAAAACACCAGCAACACATAATACTCAGGAAAACAGTGATTCTGTCACTCTATTCTTGTCAAAAAGCAAAAAAATAAGAAAAGTTTTGCAACACTAGAAAACAGCTTTTATGTTCTGTCAGTAAGGCACTTCCAGCATCAAGCACAATTGTCCAGTGCCCTATACCTTGTGCAGTCATTTACACCTGTTCAAAGCGAGTGTAAAATGCTGCTGCATGGATCTGGTAATATTTCATAGTCACTTTGCATGACAGTGAAAAATCTGGCATGTCTGCTTTTTCTTGGTATTGACTTTGGGGCAAACACGATCTATACCTCCCATGGCTGGGTAAGTTTCTGACTACAGCAGAAGTAGTGTGGTCAATTGAGCAGGGTGTCTCAACCCCTGTTGCATGAGGTCTCCCAGTGCCACAGTGTGGAGGGGAATTTGGCAAGGAACCAAGTGTATGTGTCCATGACTACATGTATCTACTTGCCATTCTTTACCATCGTGGTGATGAAAGGTTATACGAGACACAAGAGCTACTGCAGCCCTGATGCTGCAGTGGCTGCCATGGAGAAGCTTTGCTGCCATTTCATGCCTTTCGCAGGGTATTGGGAAGGATTCATTTTTCTTCCCATCCATTGCAACCCACAGAACCCTCCAGCACACAACACTGTTAGAGTTATTGTTCAGCAGTAGGTTTTTTGGCACAGAAATTAGTTTATTGCTTATTATACTGAGATAAAATAAGGCTTTTTGTTTACATAGTTCCCCATATGTTGAGTAAGTTTTGCTACTAGCCATTAGCAATACCCTTATTTGACAAACCTCTTGCAGTAAGAATTAATCTTGCCTTTTCTTTATTGAAAGAATTTGGTATTTTTTGCATGTTAAAGTAACCCACTTTGCTTTTAGTTCTCATAATGGAGTATATAATCTATATACCTCATCAGGGTTGCTATTGTTAAAGCTTCACAGTAATTTCCTTTAAAAATCCCATTCATCTTTTACAGTATTGGATTATAACAATTTTAATCTGTAGGAATTTAAACATAGCATTAGAGCACTAAGTATTAAAAATGCTACAATGTTCAGGATGGAGCATCCAAAAAATTCAAAGGTCTTACAGACAGTCCCTTCTTTTATTCAATCTACTGAGACTAGAAGGAAGGAGTAGGGATGGAATTAGCCTTACATCTTTAATTTCCTGGTTTATATAATAATGTATACATTATTAAACTTCAGCTTTTGTGTTTCGTTTCCTTCACTTTCAGATTTATAACAATTAAATGTAAAACCCTATGTAATACAATATTAATTGCACACAGTTCACGGTAAAATTAATCAGAAAAAAAGGAAAAGTGAAGTACTAAAGGCTATGGGCACAAGATCAAAATGGGAGCTTTAAAGCAGATTTTAAAATACATTTTTGACCTGTAAATCCTAGATTTAAAATGCATTTTTGTTTGCTTTCTTGCATTATACATTCACAACTTGTCTGCTAAGAAAAAAGGGGGCATTTGGAGAAATGGTAGGATTATGATATTGGAGATGCAATGCAATGAAATCTAACTAAAGGGAAAACTATTTTTGTTAAAGATTCCATGCCTCTTCAGTTACAGGCTGATGGAGCTTCTCATATAGATGAGACTTCCAGTAAGTGCTCCAGTAAAATCAGGTAACACTGAACTTACTACATATTTATATACAACAACAAACTTTCAGGCCTCTGTTATAAACCATAAAGCAGTAAAACAGTTCACAAGCCTATTTTGCCCCCTCTGGAGGTCACCATAAAGTTTACATCCCAAAGACACAAGCAAAAAAGACACTGGGTGGACATTTCTCAGTCTGCTCTAAGAATGTAATGTTATGCACCATATGGTCAGAAGCATCATAACTGACGTTTTAAAAACAGTTATCTAATGGCAGAGCCAAAACAATTTCAGTAAGCAGTAAAGCTGCTGA